CTCCCCCAGGTTCCTAGCCTGCCCTCCTTCCAGAGCCCCTCCCCACTCCTGACCCCCGCCTCGCCCGCGCACCTGGGCAGCTCCTTGACCAGGCTCTGCAGCGCAGACAGCAGCTGGTAGTGCCGTTCCTGCTGCCGGGTCCCGTCTGCCACCTCCTCCAAGGCGTTGGTATAGCGCTCCATAACACCGGAGCCGGCAGCCGCCGCAGCGGCGAAGTATCCGGTCCTTACGTCAGTCCCGAGCGCGACGCGACTCGCCCTTTACGTCAGTCCCGAGCGCGGTGCGTCCTACCACCGCCCCGCCCTCTGCGTCACTCAGAACGAGGCTCGTTCCGCCCCTCCTAGAGGTTTCTTGGGGAGTTCCGCAGGACCCCGCCCTTACCTGCATTCCTGTGGGAGACCTTAGAAGCTAGAGTCTACAGCCTCGATATCGCGGGATTTCGGACATCCTGCCCGCCCGCATGGAGTCTGAGCAGTTTAAGCCCGACTCCGTGCCCCCTTCTGTGAGCTGGGCTCCGTCCCCACGACCCCGGGCCACGTGGGGGTGGAGGGCGGGTGCCCGCGGGAGCCTCGGACTTGTGCGCGTCCGAATCCTGCGGGGGTAACCTGAGTCTTTGTGTGTCCCCTGCATCGGGCCTGACACCTGTCCCCCAGGCTCCTGCCGTGCCGGACAAGGGCAGCACCATGCCCAGAGGGTCTGTGGGGAAGAATGGGGCCAGGTGGATGTGCTGGGTGAAAGAGGACGGGAGGAGACTACTGCTATATTCTCCTGAGAAATTGACCTCTTTATCATTATATATAACCTTTGCTTCTTGTGACAGTTTCTTACTTAAATCTATTTGCATGGAATATCTTTTTCCATCCCCTCATTTTCACCCTATCTGTGTCAAAACGAAAGTGAAGCTCTTGTATACAACATACAGTTTAATTTAGTTTTGTTTTTTTTTTTTTTGAGTTGGAGTCTCACTCTGTCACCCAGACTGGAGTGCAGTGGCCGCTCCCGGCCACCGCAGCCTCGACCTGCTGGGCTCCGGCGATCCTTCCGCCTCAGCCTTCCAAGTAGCCGGAATTACAGGCATGCGCTACCACGCCCGGCTGATTTTTTGATTTATTGTAGAGATGAGGTCTCGCTGCCCAGGCAGGTCTCGAACCCGCGGGCTCAGGCAATCCACTCACCTCAGTCTCCCAAAGGCGCAGGATTACAGGCTGAGCCACGAGCCCGGCTTATTTTACCAACTTTAAAGAACTATCCCCATACATTAAAAATTCTAAGTACGTTCTAAGGTTTTCTACATAATTATTGAAGTGTACATTCCTGTACTCCATGCAATTTGATCCTATATTTCAAGTACACACACACACATACACACACACACACACACACACACACACACACACACACACAC